GCACCCCCATTTAGAAAATCCTGGGTACGCCACTGAAAGCCGCGGCACTATTTTATTGCTTCCGACGCCTTTGTCTCCAGTCACAAAGCAACCAATGATTCAGTGACCCCCCCCCAAAAAAAAAAACCACCGATGATAACCGAAACGCCTTTCATTCATAAAGTTGTTGTGAAAATACACGAACACTTCAAACGCGAGATTAGGAGTGAGAGACGTGTCCAGCGCATTTCCCACACTGCTGTAACGTTTGGATGAGGTTAGATTACAATCCAATATCTCAGCCTAGGAGTGACATAGAGACAAGCAGTTGGTCTTGTTTTAGAGAAGAAAGAATGCGGTGTAACGCAATACTGTTAACTTGTTTTAGACCAGCATTTAAACTAGAGTAATCTTGCCATAAAGTAGCACTAATTTTCCGTTTTCCCATTATACACTTTATTCTCTATTACTCTATTATTACTATTACCAGGAGTCTATCAATAGTACTGTTATAGAGAAGTATCTATTGATAGACTCTTGGTAACATGTGTATGTAATGCAGACAGTAGATATAAAGCATTTGTGTAATGCGATCAGTGTGTAACAAGCTGCACTTGTCGTCGGTGTGCGTAACACGTGCTGCCCTCTATAGGACATTGTGGAGCGGGCATTCATCGACCTGCAGGCGGAGCGTGAGGTTGTTGAGCCTGGTAGCTACGTGCATCAGTTCCCGTACCCATGCTACATGAGCGACCAGTTCCTCTTCATGATCGAGCACGTGATGCCGCTCTGTCTCACCGTGTCGTGGGTCTACACTGTCGCAATGCTCGTGCAGAGCATCGTACATGAGAAGGAGCAGAGGCTCAAGGAGGTGAGCTAGAGAGAGCGAGGGGGAGGATGAAGGGAGGGAGGGGAGAGAGAGAGAGAAAGAAAGATACAGAGAGAGAGAGAGCAGAGGGAAAAACGAGGGAGGGGAGTGATGGCAGGGGAGAGAGGGAGAGGGAGAGAGAGAGAGAGAGAGAGAGAGAGAGAGAGAGAGAGAGAGAGAG